CTTAAACTCCTTCATTCATACAGACGAGGAGACGAGTTCGAGAGTCGTACAAGACGAGGAGATTTGCAATTCTAGTCGACCACTAAACGCCCCGTGTGTGGAGCTCAATACAACAACGAGGGAACTTGGTCGGTGGGGAGAGACCTACGCGATTGAAATCGAGTCGACCAGTTCGAGCGTCGACCCATGTGCGGAAGGCCTTATAAACAGGGTAACCAAAGCATGTGATGAATATGGGCTAAAACTTAATACTTTTGATATGGTTGTCAGCACAACGGAGTTAAAACCAATGAACATCAGAGCGTATGGAATAGAGTTAGAAATAGTCCACAATATTAAATATTTGGGCGCAAACGTTAACAATAACTGGGATATAAATAAAGAAATAAGAATACGCATTGAAATAAAGAAAATAAAGAAATAAGAGTACGCATTGGCAAAAAGCCAGAGCCCCTTCTATAAATTAAAGAAATTTCTAATTAAAGGAGACATTACGTTAAACCTTAAAATCAGATTAATACGCTGCTACATATGCTCCGCATTGCTGTATGGTATGGAGAGCTGGACCCTTACAGAGACATTAATGATCAAAATTAATGATCAAATTTAAGGCCTTTAAGAGTATTGCGGATAAGTTGGGTTGATCGAATAAGAAATGAAATAGTTTTACATCGAATGAAAAAGAGCCCAGAAATAACAAAAACGATAAAAATTCGAAAGTTTCAATAGTTTGGTCATATAATGAGATATCCAGAGAGGTATAACCTTTCACACCTCATAATGCAGGGTAAGATCGCCGTAAGGCGAGGCCCAGGCCGACGAAGAACATCCTGGCTCCGAGATCTCCGAGAATGGTATCAAGAGACCACCGCTAATTTATTTAGAGCCGCCGTATACAAAGTTATTATTGCCAATATGATCGCCAATGTTCGACAATCGGACAGGCTACTGAAAGAAGAACAACATTTACATTCCACAATGACGTAGAAGGGGAGAATGTTTTTATTGACCGATCACAATTTTTTTCACATTCATCCTTATGTACATTTCTTAGTTTAAAGTGCATCAAGTTAGATCACAGTTGTGAAAGTCTCCTTGACATCTACAAGGGAGATAACATTTGCAATTGCTTTTATGGCAATATTTCTTCAAATATTATGCAAGTAAATAACTTTGGTTTTATTCAGAAAACAATTTTTTATATGATAGAAATTACTGTGTAGGTACTTATAATTTATTGAAATAAGAGGATTGCGTCCGTACACCAGTACCTAAGTAGTAATTGCTATTTAGAGTTTATGTAACTAATACAAGTAGTATAAGAAGTGTTATCTAATAGGATGCTGTAGTAAGTTTTTGAAATGGTTACATATTATCGGGAGTCTAGCGATTATATATATTTTTTATTGGATATTGTGTGAAATATATTATTTTTAGAAATAAAATTGATTAAATACTATTAAACTGGGAATAAGCCACAATTAAAGATAAAAATACGTTTATTGACGTTTCAATTTCCACTTCGGAAATCGTTCTCAAAATACAAACAGTAAATTAAACAATTTTTGTTTTTTGTTACATAGTGAAAAATTCTTCTAATAATTTAATTTTATCTGACTCATTTATATTGACAATTCAGACATACATTATGCATTTTAAAGTAGACGACTTTAAAATGATATTGCCAATATTGTTGAGTTGCGCTCCTGGGACGACTTTACTTATAAGATAGTTCATTCGATTACATGAAATCAACTTTAACTTGAGAATATCCGTCAGAAAAAAATCATAGCATATAATTCGTCTTTAAAAAGACAAACACATGACATGATGACAGTAAAATTCTCCTGTTAGTGATTCCATAGTAAATTATGAGGGAAAAACCAGGAAAAAAACCTCATAATACTATCCCGACATTGTAAGTATTTGTTCGTAAATTTAGTTTACCTTCAACAAACATCAAAATTCTGATTTTATATATTACGTTATTTAAAAAACATAAATGATGTATCCTCTATACGTTACTGACTTACTAATACTGGTATTTTCTTATTAATAACTTCCTCTTTCAATATTGGTAACCAGATCCTACTACATTCTGCCGAGGAATTTGCGACACAATTGGCTTCATTTAGCATAATTAGAGCCGCTTCTTTGATTTTTCTTTTTTTAACCATCCGTTTCTTTTAGGACTACATTTGAATTATTCCATTGAACCCTATGTTCATTATCCCATGCGTGTTTACAGATTTGAGATCTATCAAATTCTCTATTTTTAATATAGGATTGATGTTCACTTATTCTAACATTTAATGGCCTTGATGATTCACCTAAATAAAACTGATCGCATTCACAAGGTATTTTATAAATGCAATTCTTTGTCCTTTCTTGTTCATTGTTAGGTTTGGTTTTGGACATAATAGATCTCAACGTGTTTGTTGTTTTTAATGTTGTTGAAATGTTGAATTTATTTCCTATCCTTTTAAGTTTTTCTGATAATGTCCGAATTTTCTTAATAAAACACATGTTACCAAAAATGATTATCCTTTATCGTTTATAAATAAGGAATTTTCAACAATCGATCGAATAGAACAGAACAACTTAGAACGAGATCCTACAGCATACACAAGGAATAATATGAGGAAAATAACGATACCGTACATAAAAGGATTATCAGAAAAACTTAAAAGGATAGGAAATAAATTCAACATTTCAACAACATTCAAAACAACAAACAGATCTATTTTGTCCAAAACCAAACCTAACAATGAACAAGAAAGGACAAAGAATTGCATTTATAAAATACCTTGTGAATGCGATCAGTTTTATTTAGGTGAATCATCAAGGCCATTAAATGTTAGAATAAGTGAACATCAATCCTATATTAAAAAATAGAGAATTTGATAGATTTCAAATCTGTAAACACGCATGGATAATGAACATAGGGTTCAATGGAATAATTCAAATGTAGTCCTAAAAGAAACGGATGGTAAAAAAAGAAAAATCAAAGAAGCGGCTCTAATTATGCTAAATGAAGCCAATTGTGTCGCAAATTCCTCGGCAGAATGTAGTAGGATCTGGTTACCAATATTGAAAGAGGAAGTTATTAATAAGAAAATACCAGTATTAGTAAGTCAGTAACATATAGAGGATACATCATTTATGTTTTTTAAATAACGTAATATATAAAATCAGAATTTTGATGTTTGTTGAAGGTAAACTAAATTCACGAACAAATACTTACAATGTCGGGATAGTATTATGAGGTTTTTTTCCTGGTTTTTCCCTCATAATTTACTATGAAATCACTAACAGGAGAATTTTACTGTCATCATGTCATGTGTTTGTCTTTTTAAAGACGAATTACATGCTATGATTTTTTTCTGACGGATATTCTCAAGTTAAAGTTGATTTCATGTAATCGAATGAACTATCTTATAAGTAAAGTCGTCCCAGGAGCGCAACTCAACAATATTGGCAATATCATTTTAAAGTCGTCTACTTTAAAATGCATAATGTATGTCTGAATTGTCAATATAAATGAGTCAGATAAAATTAAATTATTAGAAGAATTTTTCACTATGTAACAAAAAACAAAATTTGTTTAATTTACTGTTTGTATTTTGAGAACGATTTCCGAAGTGGAAATTGAAACGTCAATAAACGTATTTTTATCTTTAATTGTGGCTTATTCCCAGTTTAATAGTAATTAATTCACAATGCCACAAGAAAATAGCTTCAGAACAATATTAAGATTGATTAAGTATTCAATTTATTTCATAATTTACTGAAATATTTATAGGATTAACTAAAACAATCAACGAAATGAAGATACACAAGCAAAAAATAGTGTTGATGTAAAAATAAGGTACCAGAAGTTAAAAATAACCTTTGGCTTTGTTCGTCTCCACATTGGCTTCCGATACCCTTAAAATATCCACAAAATTTCATGAATAAATATTAATCAGCTTACGACTTATTCTATTTATATATTAACAAATTGATTTATTTCAGGTTTCATTTATTATTATATCTCAGGTCGCTATAAGGGCTATTTTTTTCGTTTAGATTTATTATTTGCAAGATATATAATAAGAAATTTCATCGATATCATCTGAAAATGGCTACTGAAAATTGGTTTAATTTATTTATAAAGTTTTTCATTACTAACTTGTTAGTAATAAACATCTTATATTTTTGTTATGAAATTTTTTTGTTAGTAATTTTTTGATAAGTTTGCATATATCATCATCATCATCACCACCCAGCCCTTTGCGTCCAGTGCTGGACATAGTCCTCCTTCATTTTACGAAGTCTTAGTTTACTTCTTTTGGCTAACCCCGGTCTTCACTGAAGTAGTCTCTTCGTTCACCTTTTATCACTGATACGGGCGATGTTCCCGGCTCAGTTCCATTTAAGTGTGTCAATTTGTGAAATTACATCGGTAATTCCTGTTCTTTGTCTTAGTCTACATTTCTAACTCGGTCACAAAGAGATATACTCAGCATTGGCCTTTCCTTTGAGTTGCTTGTAGCGTTTAAGAAGTTGTAGTTGCAGATTCAAATCACTACGTGATTGGTACCAATAAGGATCGATTGATTTGTTTAAAGCAGTAAGTTCTAAAATAAAAATAGCCATTATGATTACCAACCTCCGTAGGGAGACGGCACTCTAAGAAGAAGTTGCAGTTTATTTTAAGACCCATACTGGCACACTAACTGATGTTTATGTAGCATTGTACATATCTCCTTGAGGTTGTCCGAAAACAAAACTATGTCGTCTGCGAATTTCAAAATTGTTAATCTTCTACCATAGATAGTTGATAGATAAACTGTGCTTCTCGTGATAACAAATGGATAAGGCTGTCTATTTAGTTGTAGTAATAAGTATCTATAAGACATTTATTGAATTGACATCTTAGCAATATACATACAAAAGTTAAAAGTCATAATAAGCGCATAGAATTTATGTTAAATGAAGTAAAAAACATTTTCGCTTACCTGAGGACTAACACCCAGCATTTTCAAAGATGGTGGAATATTCAGTTCTTGGGGAATAAGCACATGACCAAAGTCAACAGTAAACATCTCGCACCAGATTCCAAAATGCCCAATGTCAAAAACTGTCAAATCACCCGGAAGTGTAAGAACCACCGTTTTGCGGTCATATCTTCTAAGAGGTACTTCTTTGCCGTTCTCGTCGGGGACTCGGATACCTTGTGGAGTAGGTTTGCTGCCACGACCAACCCAAAATTTGGCGTCTGCAACAAGAAGTTATTGTATAATATTTCTGTTAAGATTTTAGATATTAAAATGTAATAGACATCGTACATGCTTACTTAATTAGGCACGATATAAAAATATTGTTTTTTATAAACTATTGCTACTTATTTTTTGAATCATAGAACAAAAAGCACGAAAAGAGATTCATTTGGTGCCTATTCGTTTCGAATATTGGCGATCAATTTGGCTATAATTATTTTATTAACCGATGCTTTAAAATGATTAGTTGTTGTTGTGGAGAACCATTTCCTTAGGTTTTTTAACCATGATATTCTTCTTCTCCGAATTTCTCACTTTCCGAATACTTTGCCTTGAAGGATTATTTTTATTAATCTGTATTTAGTACCATTTCTTATTATGTGTCAGATATATTCTAACTTCTGTTCGGTTCTATGAGCATTGATTTTTTTAACAGTAGGTAGGCTGCTAACCTTGCTCACCAACCCTCTTTTCGGAGGACCATTTCTTCATTCCTTGTCAGCCTTGACCCTGCTTTCCATTGGAGTTGATTACCCAATCTCCAGCAAGGTTGCTCAGGTTTTCCAGAGTTCAGGCGTGCAGCCCAAGCCGCACTTCGTGGAGGCGAGGATAGGGAAAAACTGGAACGAACAAGTAAACCGAATGGGACGAGATAGATTAGCGAACATATGTAAAAACAATAAGCCGTACAGCAGAAGACCCGTTGGAAGGCCCTCAAAGAGGTGGAAAGATAATGTACAGTCAACAACGAATGAAGCAGAATAAGAGGCAGACAAACATAAGTAATCCTAGTTGCAACGAAGAAAAAGAAGAAATATTCTAACTTTCTCACTTTAATCATATACATCACTTCTCTTTCTTTCCCCATTCTTTGTAGTACAGTCTCGTTGGTTATCTTGCCCGTCCATGATATCCTTAGGATTCTTCTGTATAGCCACATCTCGAAGGCTTCTAGTTTTTTCTCCATCGTTTCAGTGATTGTCCAGGATTCAACTCCGTAGTATAATATAGAGAAGATATAACATCGTAGGAGCCTTACTTTCATCTCCAGATGTCCAAAAGAGTTTGGCCATGCTGACTAATAAGAGGTCCCAAATATATTATTGCTACAAAATATCATGCAAGGAAAAATAGCAGGCAAGCGCAGTCCAGGACAAAGAAGAACCTTATGGTTGAGGAACTTGCGAGATTGGTATGGTGTTGATACAAGCATGCTATTTAGGGTGGCACTGAATAAAATTAGGATAGCTATGATGATAGCCAAAGTTCTAAAAGGACATAGTACATGAAGAAGAAGGCCATGCTGTTGAATGTACTTCTAGTCTTCTCTATTCTACATCTTACTTCTTGTGAATGATCCCATTGTTCGTTTACTATTGTTCCAAGATAGGTAAACTATTTTACTCGGTCCACTGGTGTATCCTTGATAAGCAGTTCGACGTCGCTAATTTTATTTTTGCTGATGACCATAAATTTAGTTTTTGATATGTTTACTTGTAGTCCAAATCTTTCACTTACTTCACTTATTTTGTTAATTAGTTGCTGTAAACTGGCTTCACCGTTTGCAAAAATAGCGGTCTAATCTGCATGGTGGATGTTGTTTAGGCATTCTCCTTTTAAAAGGATTGCATGTTCGAAATTTTTCAAGGCTTCACTTAATTTTTCCTCTGAATATAATTTGAATAATATAGGTTAAGGATAAGAACATTCAAAAGGTCCCCAAGTTCAGATATCTCGGTAGTTGGATAACTGAAGATCTAGATCCAGACATAGATATACGTAGCAGTATTGAGCAAGCCAGAACAGCATTTACTAATATAAGAACCTTGCTAAGCAACAGCGGCCTTAACTTAACGCTTCGGTATCGCTTTGTAAAATGTTACATTTACTCCATACTATTATATGGTGTAGAAACCTGGACCATAAAAACCAATGTGATGAACCGATTGGAGGCCTTTTAAATGTCTGTATTTAGAAGAGTACTTAAAATTCCCTGGACAGATCACACAAAAAATGTCGAAGTGTTAAATCGAATGGGCAGAGAACGAGAATTGCTGCCAATAATAAAAAGAAGATAAACTGCTTATCTGGATCATATATTTCGAAATTTCAAGTACCAGTTAGTTCTTAAAGCTTATTATGGAAGGGAAAATAGAAGGAAAACGGGGCATCGGAAGAAAGAAATACTCATGGCTTAAAAATATAAGGGATTGGATAAACCTCGATGCCCATACACTCTTTAGAGCCACACAAGATCGAGAGTAGTATGCCAAAATTGTCGCCAACATCCTCTAATTGGATATGGCACCATAAGTAGAAGAATATAGGTGAAAGTACATTTTTGTCTAACGCCTCGCAGAATCTGGATCGCTTCCGTCGGTTCATCTCCAAGATTTGTTCTTATTGTGCCTGATTGGTTCTCGTATAAACTTTGTATTATACGCCGGTCTTTATCATCTATTTAGGGTTTTGTTAGAACATCCATCATTTTTCGGTGTTGAACTATGTCAAATGCTTTTTGGTAGTCCACAAAGCAGGTGTAGATATCGCAAGTCATATCTCTGCATCTTTGGAATAATACCTAAAGACTAAACAGTGCATAACTCGTACCTACGCCTTTTATGAATCCAAACTGTGTGTATTATATACTCTCTTCTTTTTAAGAGAATTTGAAGAAAAACTTTTAGTGTATGGCTCATTAGACTTATTAGCCTATATTCTCCGCACTTTTTCGCTCCATGTTTCTTTGTGGTAACGTAATAAATTCTGAAACAAGCCAATCTTTTGAAATATTACCTGTGTCATAAATATTATTAAAGATTTTCCATAGTATTCTTAAAGATTCATCATCAAAAAGTTTAAGAAATTCAGACTGTACTCCGTCTGGTCCTGGAGCTCTCACTTATTCTAGGTGGTCCTGTTTCCGTAGGTATTGTGGACTGGTTCTCCCTCTCATCAAAAAATAAATTTTGTATGTAATTTTTCCAGGTATCATCAATACTTTTTTTGTCCACAATTACCCCTCCATTGTCATTAACAAGTGTACTTACTCTTCTGTTTTTAAATTTACCTATAATTTATCTTACCTATTTTTGCACACATTACATAGCAACAGAAATAACAACATACGAAAGATGACAACTACAAAGAAATATTCACAAATCTGGTTTCTTATCAGGTTTGTGCTATTTTCTTTTGGTGATCTCCATAGATGTAGCGATAAATACAATACTATTATTAAAACACCAACTACCTGTTAAATATTTTATTCAATTTATATTATTCACTATTTTTTTTTGTCTTAATTATTACCGAAATTTGTAAATATCAATTAGTGAACCCATTATTTCACTTTCTATTAGTTTTCGTCTATTTTCCTATGTTTACCAATCCGTTTATTAAATATACACGGCAATAAAACCTAGACAAACTTTTTAATCTGTTTTCATCTGAAATAATCCTCATGAATGCAAGTAATAACAGTTTAAGTTACCACGGAGCCAAGGTGTTTTATATTGCTTAAAGTTGGCATTTAAATTACACATTATTCTGGAAGACGTTAAGTAGTGTTAGGAGGTAATACCTTTTATGAGATAAAGTGTTTAATTTTAAAAGTATCTGTGGTATAAAAAAGAGATTATTTAAAATGAATTGCATACGAAAATAACTGGTATTTCTGCCTAATGAATTTATTCTTTCAAATCAAAAAACCTGATAAAATATCCTAAAGCGTCATAAATTACAGGGCCTCTTCCAGGAATTCCTGTACAACTATTTGCTGCTTCGCCAGTGCAGAAAACAATATCACAAGAGTCAGTTGAAACCCAACAATCTTGCTCGAATAATTAATAACATTTTGATTTTAAATTTTCATCGCAAGTAAAAAGAAGCCATTTAACTGAACTATTTGACTGAAAAGGATGATCTTATAAGCGACTTAAATCTTTCTAACTTTATAAAAAAGAAATAGTTTTCTCCATTATCACAGAGGATTCAAGTTCCAATTATTCCAGCTCAAGTTTCCATTACCTAAGGACTACTCAATATATTCTGTTGAACTTTTTGCGATATCCAAGGCAATATAAAACTCTTAATCGACCTGAAGACATGACAGTAATATTCACAGATTCCTTAAGTACAATCCTGAGAATTCAGAAAATATATCCGAATCATCCGATTTTAGAACAGATTAAAAAAGACCTTGTGCCTCTACAAAATAATCATAAACGACTACATATTGTGTGGATACCATTTTATGTGGGGATGCCAGGAAATGAGATAGCTGGTCAAATGGCCAAAGAAGCTTGTAAAATGGAGAGATCTGATGATAGAACTAACCAAATTTCTCATGCAAATTTCTGCCTCAAGGGAGAAAATTCCTAGAATATGCTATGCCTGTGACACCAATATATCTGTAGGCCACATTGTTATGGACTCTGCATTATATCAAATGGAAAGACAAGCTACTGGACTACCAGTGATATAAAGTGCGCTTTAGACAGTGCGGATTGTGACAAAATCATTAGGTTTTTAAAGAAAACGAAATTGTATCATCAAATATAAGTGATACTTTAAGAAAAATTCTAACTTATAATTAACTTTGTAAAAACTTTATAGTTTATATTCTATATTAATCGTTATAATATAGTATAGTCTATATATTGTACCACCCATGGACGTATAAACATAGATGGACACAGCAATAAGATACCTTTAACACACAATGTTTTGAAGCTTCGATAGAATGTGATGCTTCCGCAATGAGCATAAGCGTGCTTGAATTATTACTCGCGGGTAATTATTCAGATTTTAAAAATTGGAAGTAGTAATAATGTATAAAAACACGTTCAAAGAATTAAAAAAAAAAACAAAAGTTTAACTATTAACAAATCACGTCTTTATAGAAAAATTAAAATACAATTTTATTGGCTTTAAAATAATACAATTAAATATAGTTGAATTCAATTTAATTTTTTAATGGGTATCAAAATAATGCTACAATAAAAAATCTTTATGTTTTCTCCTAAATTTGCTACCCAAATAGTTCGATCGTCAATATTATTTGGAAACCTACATAGAAAAATAAATGAGTTTTATTCATTTCACTAATTTATTTGTATCCAGGAGAAATATTAAAATAAAAAGGTACTAAACAGATCTTTTTTAATAAGATAATGTCTACTTACAGTTTAAAAATGTCTAATTTCATGAACTCATATCTTATTCAATACATTAATGAACATGAATAAACCCAATGGTACGCCTATTAAAATGTAAACAAACACGCTTCCTCATTTCCTCATCTTAAATATTGTAAATTGTATGTACTTACAAATGAAATAAGAAATCGGGATGTAAATATTTCGTTTATTTTATTTCACTTTTTACAAATATCACTCAAAAAACAGCCAAAATATCGAAAAATAACTTTTCCTCATCTACTGTAAAAAGTAGACAAACATGGAACAGCATTTGAAGTTTAACGTAGATCCATAAGACAGAGAAATGTAAACAACCGTTGCCATTTATAAATAGTTTTCAGTGCTTCTACATATAAAATAATTGATTGTTATCTATTTTACGCTATTATTAAATTTATTTAAATTATTAAATGATAATGCATACTAGGTGCACAACTTGATATTTTAATTACAATTAAATATATTAATCTAACCGATAAATTATTATTTTGGTTTGATAGCACCTGTAGAGTATAAAATACGGAGTAATATTTTCAGCGACTCGCGAATAAGAAATTTTAAAATAAAACGTGACAACAGTTGAAGGTGCTGAGAATGTGACCTATTCAAATAATTTTGACTACACAATTTTATGTAAATAACTGAGTCCATCTGTGTTTATACGTCCATGGTATCACCGCTAATAACCAGGTTGATGCAGGTTATTCCCAATAAAAAAATAGTTTTCTTTTAATACTATTAGTTTCAAATCTGTAGAAAAAAAAATTTAAAGCATATTTTTCTGAAGACAATACTTTTTCTTTTGTGACGATGATGAAGGTTTGCTTTGTAATCTACATCTTTAATTTGTGATCGATCAGGTACGACTTTTTATTAATTTTAATAAAACAAGCTTGAAGATTGGGCTTCTACTAAATTTTCCCACATTGAAAGTATTTAAATTTTTTAATTTTTTAGCCGTATTTTAATGGTTTTTTTAGCACACCGTGTATCAATTTATAAATTTTAATTTGGTATAGTCAGTTTATTGATACAATTTCATATTTGACTTATTGTACGGGGATAATTAAAACGTGGTTTTATTATCCTAACTTTAAAACATCCTGCGGAATAATTCCGTTTGCGAATTTGCGGAAAACCTTATTTTTTCGGTTGCAACCATGTCTCCTTAGCATTGCGTTTTTTTGTTTCATATCAAAATATGCTATGGTTCATGAGCCAAATGGATTTGCCACCCACAATTTAGGACTTTTTTAATTATGATTATTTTGTAGTTATTTTGTAGTACGACGAGGTGGCTTTCGTGACTGTTATCATTATGTCATATTGACACTTACCCTTTGTTTACCTATGATTGATCATGGTTCTTAGTGTCGAAGATTGCATGAATTTGATTGGCATAGTCGCAGACCAGCAACTGGGCCGCAATTACTTCCACGACAGAGAGTGGCTAGACTACAATTTTCCAGGGAACATTTACCTTGAAATTTAGGACAATGGAGTAATGTTCTTTTTACGGATGAGTCGAGATACTATCTTCACTCATCAGATATGGCATTGAACTGGAGAGAGATTTGCGGAGTGTGCTTTCAGTCCCCACGCTAGCCATGAAAGAGGTTCGGTGATGGTATGCAGGAATATCCCGAGAGGTGCTCACTGAGTTGGTATTCATTGACGTTTCGTTGACTGCACACCGGTATATTGAGGAAATTTTAGCGAATCACGTAGTACCCTTTTCTATGTGATGGTGATGATTTTCTATTAAGGCAAGATAATGCGCGACCCCACTCGGCAATGTGTGTCACGTAATATTTAGAGCAAGTTGGTTTTAATAAAATAAACTGACCAGCGTGTTCGCCAAATCTGAACCCAATAGAGCACGTTTCAAAAATGCTTGGTAGAAATATTAGAGGTCGCAAAGTCGCATCAGCTTTAATTAACGAGCTTCGCTTGAGTTTAGAGGGGGAGTGGCAAAACATCCAGCAATATGAAATTCGCAACCTCATAGACAGCATGAGCCGACGTGTACAGGCAGTTATAGAGGCTAGGAGAGGCAATACAAAGTATTAAGTTATTTTTTAGTAGTTTTTCTTTGTTACTTGCGTACTTAGATTAAGTTACATTTAAGTTGTTTTTTTTATGTTTTGTTATTGTTATCATTGTTCATTAAAACCAACATCATGTCATTGCCTTTAATTAATATTTAACTACAGTACCTCTGGGATGTCGATATGATATTCCTTCGGTATCAGTCACCATTGTAGTATTAAAAATTAATACAAAATAAACTAAAAATAAACTAATACATATTTTCACATGAAACGAAAAACATAATACTTAGAAGACATGGTTGCAACCGAAAAACAAGGTTTTATCCGATAAAGAAATTATTTCACAGGATGTTTCAAAGTTAGGTTAAAAAACCACCTTTCCATAAACCCCGTATAATAAGTCAAATTCAAAATTTTATTAAAAAACTCACCAGTTTATAAATTTTTACATAGTGTGCTAAAAAAAAATCATCAAAATGGGGCTAAAAATAAAAAATAGAAATACTTTGAATTTGACCAAACTTTTCTCCGTTGCGTTTTTTTGCATCTGAGTATAATAAATGCTAAAACAGCAAAGATGAAAATCCTTAGATAAGACACTATAGGATAGAGCTAGACGTACAGAGGTATGATGGAGATCTAAGGCGGAGAACAAGGACTGGACAAGAAGAGTCCAAGAGTCCAAGAAACAATAAATAGAAGAGTAGAATAGAACGATCATATAAGACGAATGACAACAAATCGTGGGAAGATCACAGTGGCAAGAGGCACATTGAAAAATTAACAGAGTTATGCCTATACAAAAAGAAGAAAAAGAAAAAAAAGAAAATTAAAATTTCCAGCTCTTATTGATGCCAAATTAAAAAAAGGTGTGCTTGTTGATCCTGATATTAGAAATTTTATGCTAGATGCTCATTTTGGAGAAGCACTTTCAAACTTGGAGTAATATCAGCTGTGTCACGTCCCTTCTCATAAAAATGTACCTATTGTTTTATCATTCACATATAAAATCATTTTATGCATACAATTATTTTGGTTTAGTATTGTTTGTAGGCTATTATTGGCCGGTGAACGGTCCTTTGACAGCGAGACACCAAAGTAAAGTATCACAGTCCAACAATGTCGAATATTCCACACAATCCGAAACATTTATTGCCCATTTTCTCGTGCAAAGTGGCCGTAATGTGCGGATTCGAACATTAACCACTCACAAAGTTTGTGAACATTTTCGACATATATATTTGAATAGGCATTGAAATAGAATGGGAATTTATATCTGACCGGCCTACACATTGGCGTGCTCATGAATCTGTAGATATATACTTACCTATGCTATGTCAGTCAATTCTTTTTTTAATTTTGCTTTAGAAAAAGTATCAAACTAAATCTACAAATGTTTAAACTAAATAAAAATTTAGTATTTTATCAGAGGAAGGTAAAAAGGAAGAAAATAAGAAGCAATCTATTCATTATAATGATTAGAAATTTACAAGTATGTTCACAAAATCAATATCACCATTAAAATGCAGTCAAAAATGAATTTTGAGTCTGCATTGTTTCCAGTCTCTTCCATGTCTCTCATACGTCAGACCACTATAACTATATTGCCAGCGAATGCGAGAATTAGCGCTGATCTATTAAAAATAGTTCCATTCATTCTAATATTTAATTGTCTGATTGCGTTTTTCAAGGGAATATTAAAGACGAGACACACCAGTCCATCCCTCTGTCTTAGACCATTATTAATGTCAAAGAACGTAGAGTTTTCTCCTTCAATTCTAACTCATGAGCTTACGTTTTGCAATTTAACTAACTCAGGTGGGATCCCAAAGTCTGTCGTTGTATTATAGAATGCAGTTCTTTTCATACTGTCATAGGCTTGTTTGAAGTCAATGAAGAGATGGTGTGTATCTATGTTATATTTTAGTGACTTTTCTAAAAACTGCCTATGAGCTTGAATTTGATGTTTAGTTGACTTTCAAGCAGTAAATCCGCACTGATATTGACCAACTATATCCTTTGTAAAATATTTAAGTCTTTTAAACAATACATTGCCGAAGATTTTATATGCAGATGCTAACAGAGTAATGCCTGTATAGTTCTTACACTCCAGTTGATCACCATTCTTACGCAACGGACATATAAGACAATAAAGAAGCTAAAAACGGTGCAAGAAATGCTCAATGCTCTAATTGATAAAGATATATCAGTAATATCGAAAATGACATCCATGGACGAAAAATAAGAAGCCCGAAAAATAAAAAATATATTAAACCACACAAAAAAGGCCAGAAGGCCTAACATTTGAAGGCTGTTGATGATAAAGTTGTCCTACCTCAATGACTTGTTTCCTAATTAATTGATTTTTTTATTGCCTGTTCGTCCTTTGTCTCATGTAAAAATAATATCTATAAACCATTAAAAGACTTTTTATTGTACCAGAAAATAATATAAACCATTTGTGTTTTATAGACAATAAAAAAATTAGATTCAGATACGATAATATTATTCTTAATGGGTTTTGCAATAAAAAATAGACTTCGCTAATTAAAGGAGAAATAATTAAATAATTATGTAAAGTGAAACATTGTTTCCCGGTATAAAATATTTTTGGAAATCAAATAAAATATAATATGAAATTACCTGGTGCTTCGCCATCATAAGACAAGTTTGGAATCAACAGCGTCTGGGCATCAACGATGACGATATTGTCTGATGAAATTGCGTGGACACCTTTAAGAGATTCGATTTTTTGTGGTCGTGGATAGTCGAAGCCACGAGGAACTTTAACATCACCAAAGTTTACCTGCAACAAAAAGCACATTGAAATATTCTACCAAAAAGTGGAACAGTAGATGGTATTGTAGACTAACACGGAGCTTCATACTATGATTTCTGTATTTTTAAAATTTAAATAATATTATTTAAAATGAAATAAAGTAATTTAATTATTTATTTATTTTTATATTATAAAATAATTCCATAAATTATTATGTTTGTTCCTAACGCGACCTGTTAATGTATTAACAAAGCATACGTTATTTACTTATGACAAACCTGACAAATTCAGACGAAATATTAATAATAAAATATAAATAAATATTAATCAACATAAAACAAATGCTTCCGCAGCTACCTTTTCAGGTTTAGGAGGACACAGGCTAATCAGTACCTTTACTGTGGTCTCTGGGATACTGTGACACACACACACACACACACACACACACACACACACACACACACACACACACACGATGTTGGAGTGTGAGCTTTGGGCGGATGAAGGAGAGACGTTTGAAAGAGAGTGTAACTGCCGAATGTTTGATTCCGTTAGAGAAATCTTGGAGAAAATAATGAGGGATGAGGTGGTGGTGGACACGGATCCACAAATTTATCAGGGAGATGCTCTTTTCAAAAGAACGAGAGAAGAGAGAACTCTCAACAGAATTTTAAAACGAGCGAGTAGCAATTTGGTTGGGTTCGGACTGTCGCAGGCCGAAATAGGAGCGAATGAGAGACAAGAGAGTTAAAAGTCTTTGGTGGTTCGTGTGAGTGTGGTTTTCTCGATGAATGCGTAGGAGAAAGAACGGGAATCGGGTGATAGTAGGGCAACAGGGGAGATGTTTTGCCTTAACCAGCCCTGCCATCCTGATGTTTAGAGTGACAGAGGAGAGGTTTTTAGTTGGACGCCGACTATCTTGGAGTGGTGATGGGACGAAGTGTCAAAGATCTAACTCCCTCGGGCATCTCTTCCTGGCACATCTTCGTTAGGGTATTAGGAACTCAATACTACCTGGGTGAGTCACAGGTGTCTGTATGCAGATTTTTCTTCTTCTCTTTAAATATGTAAAAAAGGCTACAGCACCGCTCACTGTACCCTTTTTTGGATATTTTTTTCTGGTTTGAACGCTAACTCCAACTGCTTTTAATATTATCTATCAAACCTACAATATATTTGAGATCTTATCTTACTCCAATAAGCACATCGCCATTTTGGTTTTACCTATACGGACTCCCAATCTTTTCAATAAACAATATAGTTTATGTATGCCCTAATGAAAGTAGAGAGTAAATATAAACCACCTAAATTCATTACAATGGTAATATGAAGTCAATTCGATCCAAATTTAATAAATTATAGACTTTTTGCCGTACTCTATAATAAAAATACTCCCATTTTAAGTACAACACATGCATAATGTTCTGTTTAACCATGATCAATGCGAAATAATAGCCGCCAAGTCAAATTACCTACTAAGCCCTAAACGATCTCCCACTAAACCTAATAAAATATTGCAGTTCAGCATGAACAAATAAAATTAAAGTATTCGCGTGTTACGTTGCTACTTGGGTGACACGAACTGCACTGTGTGGAGTCATTATTGCGTCACGGATACAATGAACTGTGTAGCATAGGGATTGTGTATCACTTAAATTGAAATTCCATCAAACGGAAGTTTACTGAACGAAATAGCACACATACATCCCGAAATGTGATAAAAATTAATCAATTAACGACTACAAAATCGGAATGACAAACATATAAGTAATCCAACTCTTTCTACAATGAGAAAGCGATTATTATTGGTTCAGATATTGAATTAAACTGCGAGTATTTTTTTCTTCGGTCATTCCTTATGAGGAATAAAGTGCTCCTTCACCGTAATTTTTTTGGGTGAATTATTTTTTACAGCTCAAAATATTATTTAAACATATTTATTTACAAATGTTTGTTACATGGATTTTTTTGTGTTGCAAGTTTTCAACGTTGCATTTCTAGTGTAGAGAAATAAGTTACTCCCGCCACTTTGACCTGGCCAGCTATCTGACAAGATAAATAGACAAGAATAATGAAATAGCCAAGAAGAGCTCAGAGATGAATACATAGCCATGAGGAGAAGGATACCGAGGGCAAGAGGTAGAGCGGGGATAAACTCTGTTGTCATCGAGCAAATCCAGCTAATCAAAATAGCACACGGCGCACAATAGAGAGAATCGTACAGAAAAATTTGTACAAAAAAAAGAAAGCATTGGAGAGAACTGTGTGACAAACTGGATGAGGACATCTTTGGTCAGGAACAAAAAGCTTGAGGTAACACTAGAGCTTTTTTCCGTCCGGCAGATGGCATGAAGTATGGAGGAACGAGGGAGCTGAGCAGGCCGTACCCTTTACCATAAATGAATTAATAGGAGCATTGGATGCACTCAAGACACGTAGGTCTCCCGGACTAGACCAAATACCGCCCAAAGCGGTAAAGGGTCTAGGACTTGCGGAACCTGGGTGACTTTTGGAGCATATTAATACATTGCTTGAAGAACAAACATTTCCTGAAGCTTGGAGGACATTAAGGTTGGTACTGCTTCTCAAAACTGGGGAGAAATTTCGCCCCATACGTTTTCTTTCATGCATCGGAAAGATGAACAAGAGGATGCTGCGAGGACGGGTCGATCTCACGATAGATCAAAAGGCCTATCCTAGAGATAATTCGGATTGTGCAAAGGGAAGAGCATAATTGACGCAATTTTGGGTGTAACCGAGACTTTTGCCCAACATTGAGGATAAACAGCGCTGGGCGGCTCTACTGCTCTTCGATATTAGAAATGCATTTAACACTCTGCAGTGAGTTTAAAATATAAATAGCATAAAAAGAAGAAAACTAGAGTATTTGGGTCACATAATCAGAGGAGAAAAATACGAGCTGCTGAGAATTATTATGCAAAGAAGGATCCAAGGAAGAAGAAGCATAGGAAGAAGACACATCTCCTGGCTGAGGAACCTTAGACAATGGTTTAACTGTAGTTCACTACAACTTTTCAGAGCAGCAGCCAACAAAGTGACCATAGCCGTTATGATATCCAACCTCCGATAGGAGATAGAACTTTAAGAAGAAGAAGTGGAAAGAGGTGATGCGGGCATTGGAAGAGAGGTAGTGTCCTAACTATTTAATGAATGTAATAAGGAATATCTTTTCTTTATTACAGAGGAAGAAAAATCATGGTTTAGAAGGGCACGTTCGTTAACGTAACGGCTGGAGTCCCACAGGGATCGGTCTTGGGTCCGACCGATTTTCTTATCAGGCAAATGAAGCCATTTCCCTTCTTGTTCTTTGTTGAAGTATGTAACTTAAAGCTTTCTTTGGCAATCTATTTTCATTCATTCGCTTCACGTAACCATACCACACTAGTTGTCTTGTTTCAATTCTGTATAAACTGGAATATACAGTATTTGTCCTCCTTCTAATATCTTCATTCCTGATATAATCTTTCTTAGATATACTACACGCTCTCCTTAGAAAATCCATTTCTACTACTTCTATTCTTTTTCCATTTCTGTTTCGTGATCTGCCAAACTTCTGCCTCATAAGTCATAATAGGCTCTACCAAGATTCGATGGATTGTCAATTTCGTTCCTTGTCTAATATCTTTAGACCATAGTAGAGAGTTTAGAATGTTTACCGGTTTTTTCACTGCTGCGTTTTGTTTTGATGTTTTTTTGGTAGTGCCTTTTTTAGATGTTACAGTTCCGAGATATTTATATTCATTGCATGTTTTTGTGTTTCTTATTTCTAACTCTAAATCTTTTTTATCATCTCCTATTTTAAGATACTCTGCCTTTGACATATTTATATTGGGGCTTCATTTTTCATATTCTTTCTTTAGTTTTCTAAACATGTAGTCCATGTTTTCCTCATCATTTTCTAAGACTACCTGATCATCTACGAAAAATAAAGTTATTAGACATTTACCACCGCCTATCCGGATACTTGTTTTTCGCCATAGCTTTTATCGCTAGTTTACTCTAGCGATGATTGAATATATATTTTAAATAAGGTCGAAGATAGACAATAGTTTCCTTCTTTAAAGACTTTTCTTACATTTTTATATATATTTGCGATACCATATACATATTCTCTACTGAGACCTACTTTCGTCAATGTTTAAAACAATTTTTTCAAAATACCGTATCGTATGCCTTCTTTAAATCGTCAAACAATAGGTGGGTAGATAGATTCCTTGCCTTCCGTTTTACGATTACCTGCTGCAGAACGAATATACCATCAGTGCACGATCTTCCTGCATGAAATCCGATTTGTTCTTCTCTGCCTTCGTATTCTGATTCTATTCTTTCTTTTATTATTCAACCGTACAACCTCCCCACTGAGCTGATAACAGTTATTCCCCTATAATTGGAGCACTTGCGTTTATCACCTTTCTTGAATATTGAGCTGATGTATCCAACATTTCAATCATCAGGGATATTTTGTCCTTTTAAGCATTTGTTAAATAGTTGAACCAACATCTCCTGTAATATTTTTGTTCCATTCTTTAACAACTCAATTGGGATGTCTCCAGGTCCTGCTGCTTTACCGTTTTTTGATCTTTCGAGGGCATCGCTTAACTCTCCGGTTGTTATCTGAATTATTTGTGTCAGTTCTAAACACTTTTGTAAAATATTTTTAATTCTTTATATCCAAACATTTCCTTAAGTCTGTAAAATGGGTAGGATATTTTTCATAATAGAGCTTCGTCTTTGCAATAAGATTGGTGGCAAAATTAATATTAACTCACAGTCAAAAATTTATTTTTCAGAGCAAAAATGGGTTTTGTTCAGAGCAATAATTTGTCCATTTTTCCAAAAACAGTAGTATTCAAAAAGTTTTCTTTTTGACAATAAAAAAGAATAATGACCATTATTCACATTTAAAAGAATTTTCTCAATAAAAATTATTGTGTTTAATGGAAAATGCTACAAAATACTAAAAAGAATTTTTATTTTCACTCTCCTGTAAAATTCAAATTTTGTGA